AGTGTTTTATGAGGGTCATGTCATAAGGCCACAGTGCTCTCAGTTGGAAATTGAGTTCACAGTCATAGGTAAAAAGATTATCATTTATACCTGAGCTAATCCTTAATTGCAGCTTGAATTTCGTGGCCCTTTATGGGAGAAAATAAATTGATAAGTAATTGTCAATACATTATAGCTAGAAATGGGCAATGTTATATGCCTAGAAGATTTATAGTGTAATTATTTGTAAAGATATCCAACTTAAATGACATGGGATCTTATATATCATGCCTTCCTAATTGCACAGGTGACTGACCACCAGATTGATTTTGATTACCTGGCGATCATTTGTATTTGAGACAGTATTGAGAGGTGATTCTGCTTTGTTTCCCCTTTATTTCCTTTTTCTTCTTCTAGTTCCTACTTTACACAGATGATGGTTTTGATCATTTTCACCATTTTGATACTATTCAGTCAATCTTGATAGCATTCAATCAATTAATGTTTAATGACATTTATTATTCAAGATAATGAATCTAGCATTTTCCTGAAGTTATGTGGTATATTTAGTGGTTTTTTTTTATGTGATGATTTATACTTTAAGATTTTTAAATTGTAGAATTTACATATAAGGAGAATATGTAATATAAACATACACATAGACATACACATATACTTCCGTGGAAGAAAGACATTATTAGTACCAGAAACACCTTACCAAGCTCCCATGATCCCAAACCTGAACATTTCTTGATTCAGCTCTCCTTCCACCAAACACTCCATCTAAAACACAATCTAGCTTTTGTGATAATCACTGCCTTCCTTTTATTTTATGGTTCTATATCTAAATATATATCCACAGGGAACACATTGTCCAGTTTTGCCTTTTGGGGACCTTAGTATCAAACCATCATATTTTATATGTTTTTCTATGACTTGTTGATTTTATTTATCCCTATATTTGTGTAATACATCTGCCTGCATATGTGTAGTATGTATTGTTCATTTTTATTGCCATATGGACATATTGCAACTTATTTATTCAGTTTATTGTTGATTTACTATCAGGTTATTTCCAGTTTTTGTTTGGTTTTGTTTTTATCAAAGACAGTGCTACTAGGAATACTTTTTATAGTTCAGCCAGTGCCCAGGTATAAAAGATTTCCCACCATTTAAATCTAAAAAAAATGGAGTTGCTGGATTGTAAGGTATGTGAGTGTTTGACTTCACAACATTAGACCAAACCATTTTCAAAGTAGTTATATCAGCTGTGTATGAAAATTTCCCCATTCCATAACCTTGTAAATGTGTGGTATTTCTAGATTTCAAAGATTCTTGCCAATCTGTGGCATATGCTCCGTACTTCACTGTGATTTTAATTTGTAAATCCCTGGTTATTAATGAAATTGCGTATCTTTTCAAATATTTATTGGGTATTTGATTGTCCTTTTTTTTAAAAAAAATGCCTGATTAGATTGTCTTTTTCCTTTCTAATTCATATACTTAAAAGTAATAATCTTGATATTGTTACAGAATCACATTGGGTGCCAAATCTGTTACAGGACAGGGAGAGGGGTACGCCTGATCCCACAAACCTACCTGCTCTAAATAGATTCTGTCATCTGCCACATCAACACAAAACATGAGACTTTAATGGGAAGGAACTTTAATACAATTAGGAAACAATACAGGAAAGGCAAAGAATATAGTTTCTAAATCAAGCACCCAAAGCTACTCATCCCCTCATGGGTAAAATTCCACCCAAACAGGACTGGCCAAGAGCAAGGCCTGAAAGCCTGCCACAGGTCCAAAGCATCTTCCAGTGGGGACCCACAGAAAAGGATCAGAAACAACCAGACAAGTCTGGGAGGAAAAGAGCAAAATCAAAATCAAGATAAAAGCTGCTATTGTTATCCTCTCCACGGGTCTTTCACCCACATCTGTTTTAACCAGTCCACGACCAAAAGGCAAGCGCAGTTTCTTTATGTGTCTCTCTGCTCCAAGTGCCTCCTCCAGGTCTCCTTCTGGCTCCATCCTGTTTCCTTCCTTCCTCCTTCCCTTCTCCAGCTTCTTCTCTCCCTGCTCGGCTCCACCCTCCCCTGGGTGGGGCAGGGAACCTGGAACTTCCCTTTTTCCTGGGGACCACCTTGTTACAATATTAGTCATTTTTTATTATGTATAGTCAGTAAACTTTACCAATAGAATTTTTACTGCATATAAGATTATTTTGGAAATACAATTTTTGATTTTAATGCAATTGAATATATCAACCCTTTTCTTTTTGGTCAATAGATTTTGAATTTTGAGTTATGTTTAAATTATTTCTTCCTTACTTTGAAGGCATGAAATAATCATTCCTAAAAGGTTGATTGCTGTGCCTTCAATTACTATATCTTTTTGAGTGGCAGAAAACATCTATCTATTGTTAAATATGAACAAAGTAAAAGCAAAGAAATATTTCCATTTTGTCTCCCTAAATGGGACATGTGATATTTGTGGAAGAGATTTACACTTCTGTTTAGTGAGACTGTTACAGGGCAACCTAGATATGAAATGGGTTACCTGATTGTGGGTCCTCACCTGTGTGCTTATAAGGGACTTATAATAATACTCAACTGCAGGTGCACACAAAAAGGTTAATAAAGGGTTTATTTACAAAAGAAGGGGAAATGAAGAAATGAAAGACTCAGGAAGAAAGAGAAGGAGATAAATTCATGAATGTGTCCTACTAGTTCTGCTGAACTGGATTTCCAATAGCATGGTGAAAAGCCAAGAGATCCCCATGGCCCCCACATAAGGTTTTATAACAAACCTGGCTGCTTAACTCCACCCTCAGTTCCCAGCTGTCCTCCCTCCGGTGATGATGACATTATGGGATTTGTAGTTCTTGGTGTCTTGGGTAGAGTCCATAAAACCTATTTATGGTATTTGTTCAGGACATCCTTTCCCCCTAATAAGATTTACTATTTTGTTTAGCATTTGGAAACCCATTTTATAACTATAAATTTTTCTGAGTTGGAATTTTTTTTTTAACTTTTGTATATTTATCTCCTTAGAAACAAACTAAAACAAAATTCTGATTTTACTAATGCCTATTGTTGTATTTCACAGTATTGAATAAGTTTTGGAGAATGCCCAGAAATGTTATCTCCAAATTGAGCAGAACAACTTCTCTTTGAAGACTCCAGAAGACAACACTCAGTCAGGTAAACACAAATGAAAGTTTATTTTTTTAAGATTTATTTATACAAGAGCTGGGGTACAGGCCAGAGGCGTGGGAGGGTGAGAGAATTCGCCAGAGACAGAGTAGGAAACAGAACAGGCAGATTCACTGAAATACACTGCTGAGGGGAACAGCGGGGGTTATAGGAGAGGTCTACCTCACAATGTGGGTATCTCCCTGTCTGGCCAGGAATTGAACTAACCCGCACTGTGGAGGCTGCGGACAGCTTCACAGCTTCACACCACTGGGCCAATGGGGAGGTCCCACAAATAGAACTTTAAAGTCACCTTGACAGCAAGCACTTCTGACCAGTGGGTTTCACTGTTGGAGGGGAATTTATCATTATAATCTTTCTGTTAAGGTGATGATTTAAATAATCCTCTTTTAGCATAAAAAAGTAAAATTAACATTTAAATTCATGAAAACGTTACCCATAAGAGATAAACAAATTGGGATAGTTTCTTGCTTTTTGGTGTTTTGCCTAAGAAGACCATCTAACTTTGGTAAGAAGTATTTATTCATATGTTTTATGCTTAGAATGCTATAGTTTTAACTTTTAGATTCAGTCAGTGACCTATTTTAAGTGCATTCCTGGGTCTGACTTCATTCTTCAATGAGCCCATGTACTTGACATTTCAAGGCATTTTTGCTTGTTGCCAAATCAAAATTGAATGGTGTATACTTAGTTATTATTTTTCTCCTTAGTTTATGTTAGTCATACAAAAATGTCATAAATCATAATAATTAAAAAGTTGTGTTAGAATGGGGTCTCCCCTGGTGGCACAGCGGTTGAGGGGTGGGCTGCAAAGCTACCCGCAGCCTCTGCAGCGCTGGTTCCATCCCCTGCCACCATTGAGGTCTCCCACATGGCGTGCAGACCTCTCCTGCTGAGCCTGCTGCTCCTCTCAGCAGTGTATTTTGTCAGTCTGCCTGTTCTGTTGCCTGTTCTGGCTCTGGTGAATTCTCTCACCCTCCCGTGCTTCTGACTGTACCCAGTGCTTATATAAATAAATAAATAAACCTTTAAAAAAAAATTGTGTTAGAATGACTGCCTTTCAGATAAAAGAATCTTCAGCCATTTTCACCCAAACTTCTTTAATTTTTATGCCCTATGTTTTAGTTTCTGAAGATAAAATTTCCCAGTGTGTGTGTGTACATATCTATTTGTATATCTATGAAATATATACAATATGTATAATGGAATATATAAATATATAGTTTCATATTGCATGTTTTCCTTAGTAATGATTATTTCCGTAAGTTTACAAAATTATTATATTCAATAAATTTAAATAATTATTTTCTGTCATGTAGATATATATGAGCAATTCATTGTTCATAGAATATTTAGTTTAATTTTCCCTGCCCCTCTCTCTCTCCTCCCGCCCTTTCTTTGTTCCTTCATTGCATACATTTGAATGGGCTTTTTATTTATGCAAGTATTTGCTTTTTTAAAAAATGTATTTACTTGGAAATATCCCTATAAATAGGGTTGCTGGATAAAAGGGTATGGACATAAATGGTTTCACTAACTTAAAAATATTTTTAAAATATTGAAAGCTTCCAGCTGTGTAAGTCTATTCATGGTTCACCATAGCCTTGGGCATCGTATATTGTCATGTAAAACATCTTACTACTTTTGTGTGATTGAATTGTTATCTCTAGTTTTTTTAAATTTGCTCCTCTTTTTTTTTTTAATGAGGAAAAAGACATATTCTCATTTGTTTACTCTTTGTATTTTCTTTTGATTGAATTATGTTCATATTGCAAAAGTGCATTTCTCTTCTCCATGGTGAGAGTCTAATAGCACATTCTGCACAGAGGTAAGGCATTTTATAATTTTTGCATTAAAACATTACTTATTTTTATAGTACAGATATATATTATAACTATTAAAAATGGAACCTAGGTTTAAATTACCAAAAAGTTCTACAATTTTGACCAAATTTAAATTTTGATATGTGAGTTTTTTTCCTTTTGTATTGCTGTTAATGGAGATTGCCTTAAATGTTACCTTTAAACTTTTTTATTGTTTTATAATAATCTGTATTTTTAACTGGTGAAGTGTTTTAAACCTGTGTGTGTGTGTGTGTGTGTGTGTGTATGCGTGCACACACACAATTTCTTTTTATTGAGGAAAGATTAGTTTGCAACACTGTATAGGTGTCAGGTATACTGTTTCTTACCTCAGCAACTATATTACCCCATATTCCCCTCACCACATGCTTCTAAATAGAGAAATGGAGTGCCTTAGCACATATTCATCAGTGACTTGAAGATGGTAGTTAAGAAACTGGACCTTAGGAATAACTCTCATTCATTTGCTCTTATTTACTGAGTATCCCTGAATTAGGTATGGTTAGAGCCTGGGGGCAAAACACACAGTGAATGGACTCTGACCTTGTGACCTTGTGACTGGGCCTTTGAGTTCTGGTTTGTAGGTAATTATAATGTAGGTAATTATAATATAATGGATGCGCTATAATAGGGGAAACACAGTTGAGGAAAGTTCACAACCAGTGGACTGCCAGAAACCCAGAGGAAGCCAGTACTTGAAGAAGAAGTATGAAGAAGAGAGAGAGCTAGATCTGGTTTTCTGAAAGAAAGGATCTGAAATAAAATGAGTTCCCAAGGATGAGCAGGAGTTACCTACTTTATGTAAAAGTACATTCCTACTCTGTTGTTCTGGTTATGACTGTTGGTCTCTATGGGTAAGTACTAATAGGTGACTTTTGTCTTTTCTCAAAAGGCATTCCTAAGCATCATGGGAAAAGAGTCCAGCCCCATAGAACAAAGCCAGGCAGAAGCCTTGAAGGCCAGACTTCTCTATCAGGACGTTTGCTTGGCAGCTCAGCATCTTGACTTTTTCCTTCGAAAAGGAAATGCTCACAAAGAGGTTTTCAAGCCTCATGTCCTGGCCCTCAGGGCTATGGTTCAGCAAGTCTGCATTAAACTCATGTTCTTGCACCCAGTGGATTATGGGAGGAAAGCAGAAGAACTATTGTGGAGGAAAATGTACTCTGACGTTGCTATGTTGCTAATGAAGACCAACAGGAAACCCATGGACACCTTCAAACACTGGGAGGGCCACCTTCGGGTTCACCTGAGGGCTGGTCTCCACTTCTATGAACACCTCTTCCTGTTCCTACAGGGTCACTACGAGCTGAGGTTACAGAGCTGCATCGACTGGCCACACAGAGCCACAGTCCACCTGATTGGTTGCAAGAAGGTAGGCCCCACCTCGGAGGAAGAGGTAGCCTGGGCTCGAATGGCCTGCCATCGCTGCCTGCTGTACCTGGGAGACTTGTTCCGCTATCAGAATGAGTTCTTGTCCCTGGCCACTGTGGACCTGGCGGAGCGGTGTTACTACAGAGCCCTATCAGTGGCCCCACACATGGGAATGCCCTTCAACCAGTTGGGTGCACTCATTGGAAATAAGTACTATGATGTTGAAGCCACATACTTCTACCAGCGCTGCCTCCATTCAGAAGTGCCTTTTAAAGGGGCGTCTTGGAACCTCAAACGACTCTATGATCATGCAGGAAAAAGGTACAGCCGCCTGAAAAGGTACCAGGGGAAGAAGCTCTCTCCCAGCCAGAGGCAGTGTTGGGATAACAAGAGGCTGCTGGTAAGTTTCCTCTACCTCCAGAGCCTCTTTCAGCCTCAGAGGAAATTCAGAGCGACCAGGTTGATGGCCCTGTGCCAGCTGGTTCTGGAAGATTTTCGTCTCTGTCTTTCCTATCGGCCTTGCCCGTTTGACCTGAGCCAAGCTCAGGCCTTCACAGAGAGAAAGCCCCCCAAAGGCTATTTATTTCTCCCAGATCTTCTCATCTTCCATATGGTGATCCTTTGCCTCATGAATGTGCACAACCTGAGGAAAACAGACTCGAAGCAGCACAGGCCAGCTGCCCTCTTCACCTTGACCCTTTTCTCTCACCTAATTCAACACGTGAATACCCGAATCCAGGCTGAGCTCCAGAAAGGGACGCAGACTCCAGTGGTGGCCGTCCCCAGTGACAGAAACCAGGAGCAAGAGTCTGGGGAGAGGTGTTCTGGGCCCCCCCACAGCATATCTCAGAAAAGCCACAGGTCATCTTGTGTTTCTAGTGAGGGTTACAACTCAGAAGCCAGTTTTCATTCTTGCTGTGACTCAGATGAAACAGATGAGGATGAAAATACATCCTTAAGCTCGCAGACCCATTCAGAAACAAGCAGTGAAACTTCTTATTCGGATACAACGGATGAAGACGAAAGGGCCTCCCTGAATCCAGAAGCAAGGCAAGAAAGTGGGGTCAAATCCAAACGTAGCATTGCCCAGACCAGGGATGAGCTGAAGACTCGCAGATCTACTAATAGTCTTCTAGATCTTTTGAGAACAACCATTTCTGCTAACCTGCCAGTCCCGTTGAGCCAAAAACTCCAAGTAAAGCACAGCCTGCACATGGCTCCTGTCTTCGGTTGCAGTATTCCGACCCCGCTGTCTGAGCTGAGCCCTGCCTCTGGCCATCCATCTGGCACAGAGGATATGAGTAGCTTGCCTGAGATAGAGCCTCCCACTGGCTCCCTGGGGCAGGATGCCTCCACTGGCCAGTCTGGCAACAATCTCCAGACCATTCAGAAGAAATTGCGGGTCCTCTCTGCAGAGGGACTGCTGCCCACTGTCAAGGTGATCCTGAGTTGGCTCCGCACCAATCACAGCCTCCTCACCTCATGTTGGCGGGTTCCACTTAGCCTGTGGGATCACCTGTCTGTCCTGCTGAACCTGTTGCCCTCCATGGCTGATCTTCAGGAACCAGGCCTGGGCCTGTCCCACCATCTCCAGGATCTGCTGCAGAACTGTAAGGGCCCAAATATCCCCAGGTGCCTGCAACTCCCAGAGGACCTGGCTCTGTGCCATCACTCTCCACTGCAGGTCTCCCAGGAGAGGGTGTGCTCAGAGCAGGAACTACCTCCGCTCAGCTCCCAGGATGAAGCTGCTGTGCGCATCTGCCTCCTCAGAAGCTTTGGCCACTTTGCAACTTCGCTCCCTGGACAGTTCCTGAGGTTTGACTCTAAGTTGGGGGTCTTTGTGAGCACTGCTCTTGAAGGATCAGAAAACTACTCTCAGCAATTTCTTGAAAAAACTTCAAGGATCAGGTTTTCCAAAGACATTGTTCAGCTCTGGCTTCAGCGTGAGGTGGTGCATCTGGAGAAGACCCTCCGGGGCCTCCAGATTCAGTCAGCCTTGACCCCTTACCTGTTCCCTGACCCTCGCGCTCTCTGTGAGCATCTGCCAGTCATCCAGCAGCTTGCTACCAGTGGGAAGTTCTTCCTCATCATACCTAAGATTGTGGTCGACATATTGTATGTACTGAGGAGAGAAGATCACAGAGCTTTGGCAGCCATCACCTTTCTAGAGGATGAGCTGAAGAGAGGCAACCAGTACATTCTGTGTCAGTCCTTTGTGTCCAAGAGGTTTGTGAGGCCCAGGATGACCAGGCCAGACTCTGATGCCTGGGATCTTTATAACATTCTAGACTTCTGCAAGGGTCTGCTGGAATCATCCAGGCCGGGGCCATCCAACCCCAGCAGCATGGTCACCATCATCACTGGCATCTGTTTGAACAACCCAAGGAATTTCTCATACCCCTTGCAGCTGGCACTGGGGACAGCGACTGAAGCTGGTGTGGAAGTTAAGAACATCCGACGCTTCCACAGGGAGTGGAAGGCCATCAGCTGACGTGTTCCATCTCGCTTCCTCCTTGTCCTCCCTCAGCACTTATAGATCAAGTGCAATCTGTTCACCTGGCTTGTAAGCACCTAATGTTAAAGGTAGACATTGTGTGAATGCATATTTGTATCTACCTGTGGGTAGAGATTCAGTATACAGGCTTCCAGAGGCCTTCATATTTCCAACTTTGTCATCATGGCTTCATATAATGTTCTTTATCTGCAAAATAATCTCAAGGTTAAAACATCTCAGTGCTTAGTATTCTATGGTGCAACAGCAAGTTAAGGAAGCGTTTCCAAGTCCAAGTGCAGCTTCATGGAACTGTAATTTGCTTAGCTCTGTTTTGTGACATGAAACTTTTCAAGCTGTTTTATTGTGATGGGACCATGCCTATTATCTAAGGTAGGCATTTTCCATTGATGGAAACTCAATAAATATAAAGTTAAAATTTGTGATTGGAGTGAAGAGTCTTATTGCATGATTGTCTACAGCTTGTTCTGTGTGCCCTTGAGGTGTGCATTTTGGGCCAGGACTAGACCACTAGCCCAGGCCACTGTGTTTCCATTTGCTCCTCTAAACATGATAGCAGTAGCCCCCAGGACTGGCTCTGCTTCTGATCATCTGGAAATATCTTTTCATGCTATAATATTGGAATTTTTTCCAACATTTGCTCAAAATTTCCAATTTAGCTACCATGACATTGTCTCTTGCTTTTCTCTTGGCTCCCAGATGTCTTTTGGGACTTCTCATCCATCTTCTCTTTAGTATTTAGTATTTATTGCTCTTAGTAGAGCTCAGATGTACATCCTGTAAGTACTAGATGTAAGTTAAAATCTAAAACTTCACTCAGATTGGCATATGGTAAAAGTATTAACAGCAATCTCCTTCCCTCAGTGATCCCCAATATCCTTGATAAGCCATCATATTTGTAGACTAAACTTAATATTCCTTAAGGAAGCCAAGCTCTGCACCTCTGGGTTGGCTCTGTCCAGAGATACTCCTCCACTTAGCCTCGCCTCTAATTGGTTCTCTCAGAAGCAAACACTCTCCTCACACCTGGAAAAGTGTCCTCACTCATTTGTCTTGAACTGAGCTTTAAGATTCAGTTTAACTTCTTATTACTTCCCCTATCCAGGCTTAAAAAAACACTTTTGGCATTTTATTATATTTATTTAAAAAATTCCAAGCAAAAGAAAAATAGGGAAACAGAAAAACCCAAAGGTCATTTCATGCCAACATTACCACTTTTATTATTTGGAGTTACTTATAACTTGTAATGCTTTCTCTGCACACAGGTTTTTCTTGGTTGTAATTATATTCTATAAACATTTTTTCAACCTCCTTTTTTTCAAGTTACACACATTTCTTATATTACTGCATTGTCCTCATTGCTCCTTTTGTAATAGCTACTTCCTGTCATTGTTTGCTTATGCATCCTTCTTTCTTTTCTAATATTTTAAATATTGAATTATTAATAATTATGTGATATAGCTTGCTTGGGGTAGGTGACCCAGAAATTAATTTATTGAGTTAAAAGAGATAAATATATAAGTATGTTCATTTATTTATATTACATTACACTGACATATGTATATAGTTATGTGAACATGTGCACATAAATGTATCTTTGTAAGAGACATTGCCAAGTGGCTTTCCAAGAAAGGAATTTATTTCTAAGAGGGAAATAAATATTTTCTATAGTCTTATAGGTTTTTTTTTCACTGAGTGTATTATGATCATTCACTTATATATATTTTTTAAAAATGATCTTAAAAGGAGTATACCATAATTTGCTTTACCATTGTCCTATTTTTGGAAATTTGTTTCTACAATTTTCCTATTATAAAAATGCAAATAAATTTGTGTTTTTGACTATTAGAATAAATTCCTAGAAATTCAATTACCAAGGCAAATGATTAGAATGTATTAAGCCCCTTAGTGATACTAAAAATTATAGTAAAAATAATATATAAAATTGACCTCCAAGAAATTTGCAAGAATTCTTACTCATGAGAGCATATGAGTGCATATTTTGTTATGTTCAATTCAGAGAATTTTTTTTCCTTGCCAGTCTAGTAAGTGAAATTCTCAATATATTATTAACTGTAGGATTTTAAAACTAATAGCTTAGTGACTATATTATAGACTTTAATTTTTTGTGCCTGTCTCTTCATTTAAAAATAAGATATTTTCTTACTGTTAAAATCTGCAATCAACCAAAAGCAAAGGTGAGTGCAAATTGAACAAGACCCTAAGTAAAACTGCCTAAATGAGAGAGCTGACTGAACCTTTGTTCTTTGCCTTGCTTGCTGCAACCTGCCAGCACAGTGTTGTAGTTGATGAGATAACTGATAATACTGATGGCTTGAGAAGGTGATAAAGTAACTCAGAGCATGCAGTGGAACAGAGAGAATAAGAGCACAAGGGTATCGAACCGGCGCTGCAGAGGCTGTGGGCAGCTTCGCAGCCTAGTGCTCAACCACTGTACCACCGGGGATGCCCGAATAAATTACTTTAAAAAATGCAAACGACATTGTTTTTCCAGTGGGAGATACTCAGTTGTTCTCATATATGAAAGCAAACGGGCATCCATCACTATGGTCTACCCTCCTTTCATAGGACATTTCTGATTTCATTTGTGAAGTTCTCATCTAAATAATGTGGGTGGGGTGAGGGCAAGAATACCGAGGACAGAGCTTACCAGCTGTCAACATAGTAGACATTGTAATTGTGTCTCAACAGTGGACTTTGGTTCTGACACAGTCCATCCTCAACCTTATAGCTAAAAATGGGTCATTTCAAAATGCCTGGGCAACCAGGGACCCTCTCAGACAGCTGCAGTTGTAGCAATGGATCCATCATTATAGTGCTAATTTTTCTGATTTTTTTTCACACACAGAAATCAAGCTCCCTGAGAAAGCTCCTATTGTGTTCTGTGATATTTCCTTGATTTCCCCTGTAGGAGTTTTCAAACTACAGATTTTCAGCTGATCCTCAGCAGACACACCCCTAGTCTGGTTTTGGGAAACACAAGAAGCACTGGGGAGTTCCTTGAAGATGTCATGGCTGTGAATTCATGAGTCATGTCACAGATGTCTCTCGCATGGTTTGTGGACACCGAGATGCCATAGAAAGAGTCTTGCTTCATCTGTGGGGAAGAGAGACAGCGCATTAGTCTTAAATGGTTGAACTTCATTTGGCTTACATAGAGAATAAATACCATTGAAGTTAGCCTCTGTCAGTAGAATCACAGAGGCAAAGTGATACTGGAATGAAACAGCTTAGATCATTTATTGTTTCTCTTCATCCCAAAAGTGTTTTTTACAAGTATAGCCTTTTGATTTAGACCTCTGGGATTATGGATGAAATTGTATATTCTACAAGACTTAATTTTCTCTTCTTAAATTTTCCTTCATCACTGCTTATCAGGAATGACACATAAAACAATGGATAAAATTTTAAACAGCCTAATGCCTAAATCTTAGTATTTGTATAGAGTCCCAGCTGAGAAAAAAATGCCTATCTGAAGCTTCTTTGTCACTGGGGATTCTGATAAGGAGAACACTCTCTGTTTAATGCCTTAGAGTTTATCACTGTTGTGGCTGTTGCTGAAATGCTTCTAGTGGGAAGGAGACCTACACGCAATTGCTTTCTAACCTTTTTTTTTTTTTTTTTTACCCTAGCGTGTAGGAGATGACCCTGTTTTACAGGTGAGTAATGTAAAATCAGTCGAGTGAAGCAACTTTCTCAAAGACCTGTAGCTGCTAAGTGACTTACCTGAGAGTTAATTCCAGAGGTATTTGTCTCTGAATCTTGTCCAAGTGGATCTGGCTCACTTACAAGCACATAGCAGCATAGGGTACCTGGAGGGCACCTTGTGGACACACAAACAGCCTCCACTCTTTCTCCATCTAATTTCCCTGGTGACTTACAAGATTTTACCTTTAGCCAGATGCCCCCAGGGAAGCAGAAGTTAGCAGATGGGAAAACAACTGTGACAGGAAGTTTCAATTCTGTTGTGAAAGGCTATTTACTCAAGAAAAAAAAAAAAAACTTCTTTAAAAGGGAAGACACTGTTAATTTACTAAGCAAGTTTTACTTTTTGAGTGGAATAGCATAGAAGGTAAGTTATATTTAGATAATAGTGAGAGCTAGATTTTTTTTCTATATATGAATTTCAGCTTCACTATAAATGTGTATTATATGTGCTTCTCAGGCAGCTAGAGATTATATTTATTCTGGTCAAAGAGTATTTTTGGCTATAATAATTTCTCTTATGAATTTAAGACTCATATTTCCATCTGCCTCCTCTAATATCTGCTGGAATTTTCCGTATATCAGAAATTTAATGTGTCTGGAAGTGAAGTCATTATTTCTACCTGAACTGGCCTTTTCCTTGTACTTTTTATCTTGTTAAGTGACATTTAGCTAATTTTGAAAGTCTGGCTTCATTCATTTCTAACTCTCTCTCAACCAAAAATTTACTTACAAAATACACAATACACAATACAAATGCACATATATAGATCTATGTGCTTCATTTCAAAGCATTGACTTATGCAACCATGGGGGCTGGCAAGTCTGAAGTTTGTAGGACAGGCTACCGGATAGGAAATTCTTGGGTAGGACCTGATGCCTTAGTTTTGAGGAACACTTTCTTCTTCCTCAAAGAAATTATAGTTTTTCTCTTTAAGGCCTTTAGTGATCATTCAGCTGATTCCATGAAACCCACCTCATTATAAATATAAATAAGACAGCCTAGGTAAAATGAATTGCAAATCTGTAGGATAAAAGTTGTCCCAAGTTCTGTTTGAATAGCTGGACTTAAATAGCTGGTGAGCCCTGTCCCAACATCCTGTACAGTTTGGCCCACAACATTGACAGTAAGGGACCATGCTAGGCAAAATGCATGAGATCCTGATTAATGGTTATCTCACAGTTTACTTGAGGGATAAGGCTGAGACCTGAATATGTAGTTGGAATGTAACCCATGTACTCATGCCGAGGCAAATTCTCCTTCCCAGAACAGGTTTCCTTGTGCATGAGCCTCTAATAAAGTCTTGCATGGTTCAACTATGCCTACTCTTCTCTGGATAGAAAAGGACTCACTCTTTTGGGTTGGCACATGTAACATAATCTTTCCATAAAGTACAATGACTAGATTTTTAGCACATTTGCAAAATACCTCTAGAGCAACATTAGAGTTCCGTTCAATAGCTAGATACTATCACTAAATAGATACATAAAAGAACCATTATGCATATATAATTTATCAAAATTTTTCTGAGCATATCCGTAAACACTTATCAAAAACTTATTGAATTCTAACCAGTTTTCAATAATATGTTTGCTGCTATGATTACATAAAAAGCAAGTCAT